CCTTACCCACACAAAAAAAGAAAGCAATTCAAAAAAAAAAAAAAAAAAAAAAAAAAAGAAGGAGAAAGAAAAGATTAAAGATTGGTGAACATCTGATACTCTAAACTTGAGCCAGACTTGCAAGGAGCTAGCAGTTTATCTTCTCAAGAGATCATGAGAAAAGAGAAACAGACCAGGATATATTGGGGGAGTGCTTTTGCTGCCATGTAAAAGAAAATTACAGAAAAAACTTTGCAACTGAAAAGCTACTCAAGCCAATACAAAACTGTTACTACAGCACAATATCCCTTGAGTAAGAGATAACTCTGCAGATGGTGTTTATGAAAATATTAGGCTGAGTCACTCAATTACCTCTGACACAACTCCTCCTTCAGTTATGACATACTGTGATAAGCAAAATCACTTTCCCCATTCCTCAACTTGTACTTCAAAAATCAGGTTATGGAGCGTGTATCTAGACAGACTATTCATCTACAGTGGGCTATTTTAATCCACTGTTATGGCTGAAGTCCTATGCTATCCTCTAAATACAACTCATTCAGTCATTTCAGGCATCAACAGATTCCACTGACCTTGGTTAAATAATTTTAATTGATTTATTCATGTGTACACAAAACAACCTACTCAATTATTCTATGCAAACACAGTCAGCTTCCAGATCATTGCATTTTTACATATTTATTCACCAATTTGGATGATTTTTTGAGGTACTGTAGCATTACAGGCTACAGCAGTGCCAGAGGGTTATATAAATCTATCTTGGTGAACTCACAAACTGTGCAAAAGGGGAAAAAATGAAAAAATAAAAAAGGCATAGAAATTCAAGAAGGGTTTAGAAGAACACAGTGAGAACAAGGTAAGGATCTTCTCCCACAAGTGAGTGGCACTTACAGGTAAGTGATGTCCTTTTTTCTGTCCCCAGGATATTAATTGGTTCTCTATTTGGTCACACAGTGACCTTTTCGTTATATTTTAATATCATCTCTTGCATTGAGGTTATCTTTCTACTTATTCATGAAACTCTGTCAGGCTTGCTTCCCTAGAACAAACCAAGGTAACTGCTGAAATAAGTCAAGTTATTCTAGTGCACAACTCAAGGGGGAACAGAGGGCCTAAGCTTTGTATTACACATAAGACCTTGCCAGCTCCTTTTCCCTTCAAAAATAAAAGGTGTAATGGCCTTCAAATACACCAGATAAGGACTATGAGCTTAAGGCAATGGCTGGGCACTTGGGCTTCTGCACTTGTTCAAGTGAATTTGTCAGAGTGCAACCCTTGCAAACTTTATGCTGGCTGTCTTTTTTGAGGATTTATTCTAGTTTGTGGTCTACAGTGCAAGTTGTGAAACAGATGGTTTAGAAAGTTCATATAGGATGGAGGCATCTGTATACTCTTAAGACAGTTGCTTTGAAAGCTGCTAGTAACTGCTCTTAGCTGAAGGTATGCCTGAGAACAGGACCTGACTCTATAACTGGGTGTTATGCATCTCTCGAGCACTGGTGCTGTTACAGTACATTACCTCATCAGTATTACTCCAAATGGACATTTGTCTGAACCAACATGGCTGTTCTTTACTAAGATACTGGTGCTTATGTGAAAAATTGCAATATTGATGATGCCTCAGGGACCATAAAAGCAACTTAAGAAAACAGAGGGCTTGGATGTGGAAAAAAAAAACCCACCATGGTTTGGGTTCTGCTGCCATTAGTCTGAAAAGTGTGGTGTGACTCACTTCAGTTCTGGGTGCACAGGCAGGAACGTGTGTGGAACCTTAAATCCTGTGAGTACTGGACAATACTTCAGCCCAGAAGAAATAAGTGATATTTCTTTAATTCTGGGCCATTTGAGAGTATGAGCTACTTGGTAGAGGGGGCACACAGGATGCTATTGCTAAATCTTGGTTACAGAGAAATTGTGATTTAGGTAACACTTTGCCTCCCCTTGGATTTAGGTAATTAGATCCTAGTAAGATATCTCAATTTTATTTCCCCTAAATTCAACTGCTATTTAACTTCTGTGCGTGGGAAAGCATAACTACTTTGTGCAGTTTTGCAAGACTAATTTTAATTTGCAACAAAATAAAAACTGGGCTGAACTCATTAAATATTTAATTACTTCTAGTTCTTTCCACTCTGACTATGTTTACAAATGTATGAATGCATCTTTTTAAAATTGTCTTGCAGTCTGTCTTTAGATGTCTTGTGGACCACTGGCTGAGGAACATTCATTTAAATATCTGTGGAGCACGCCAGCGTGACTTTAGAGAGTTTCACTCACTTTTCTTGCCTTCTAACTTACTTAGTGACACATGCTTGTGGTTGTGGAAACATGGAGATTTAACAATAGAGTGTTTAACCAAATCTTTAATTTAACCTTTTCCTTGCTCATGGTAGAACAGAAACAGTAGAGTCCAAACCTTCCAAATGAGTGTAAGGCAAATGACTATCAGTTACTTCAAGGAGTACAGACCTTCTGCAACGACAATACAGAGCTTTACAGTGTTTGCAGATGTGCCCAAACTAGCTGGCTCAAACTCAGCTGGGACATAGGTCTTGTAGCACAGTGCTGACTATTGCCAAGTGAGGGCTGCTGGTACCCAGCTAGTCTAACGTTTGCCTGCTCACATCTACCTCAGCTGCAGTCACACCACTGCACTGTGGAGTATCTCAAATCACTGTCACCTTCCCATGGGTATCTTGCCTTCCCCCTTGGTAGCAGTAGGTCCTCCCTAGCAGAAGCCCAGGGAAACTAAGTGAAGGGGTAAAGCCCTGCTACCCAGGGAAAGGCTTCTGCTTGTCCAAGGTGCACTTCTGCCCTGTAAGTGTTGGGGAGCAGAAAGAAGCAAAGGCAGTGTGGTTGTGAGATGCAACTCCTTCCCCTGATGGCAAATCTACTTCTGCTTTTATGCCCCAGGTAGCAGACAACATGTAACTACTGCACTTCCCTCAGCTGTACAAGTCACACAGCTCCATTTATCTACAGTGGGACTACGCTCAATTGTATCTTCTCTTGTTTCTAGCTTACACTGCTTACAAAGTATAGTCAGAAGCAGTCTGCTCTCCTAAAAGTCTGTAGTATCTGTATTTAGGTTTAAGGGGAGATAGCACAATTGTTCATTATATTAAATGTCACAATAAAAATGTTTTATTATAGAAAAAAAAGTGGAATTTAAGATTTGTGGACCCTCATTCAACAGATGCCAGTTGGATCACACTACTTGCAGTTTTTCATGTCTGGCAGTGTTTGTTTGGGTCTAGGAATAAGAGAGCAGCTGTAATATGGAATATAATGGATTAGAGCTCAGTGAATTGATGGAGTCCAAGTTTGTGCAGCTCTCCTGGCAACTTGGCAATTCTAGAAATGCTTAATTCACCCAAATCAATTTATCTTTAATGGAAAAGGAAACTTAGCTAACAGCGCTGAAAGAAATAGGATTTTCAGTCTGATCTTAGTGTCACTAAAACAGAGTACACAATAAAGGAAAGCAACATAATTTCACAAATGAGGTGGAACTGTGCAGGGTGAAAAAAAATTGTTTGGTCCCCAGAGAGTTCATGTGAATTGACGGAGGAGGTGAAGAAGTTAGTAACTCTGGAGAATAGACTGTGTGCAGTAATATCAGCAGGCACATTGACTTTTCTTAAATTAAGTAGCTTTGTACAATTAATCTACTCTGATTCTCTGGCATAGCCCTCCAAGCAAACTTTTCCTTTCTCCAAAGCAGTAGTTCTCAAATATCCTGTTGCTTACACTATTATATAAAACCATGGCAAAACTATTTGTTTTAAATATAGTGGCTTTATTTTTTTTATCAGTTGAATTTGAAAAAATGCATGTGGACTAGTGCTAATTAAGATTGTGTGGGTATCTTATCCTAATGTGATAGGGACTACAAGTTTCCATAACACCCTCATCTGGTCATAATTAATCATGACAAGGATCCTGTTGAGCTGAAAGTGATTAGTTCCAGCCTAATTAAAGGTCACTGCTGGCTACAGTTTTGGGCTCCATCAGATAGAACATGTTATCTTATTTTTTCAGTGCAGACAGAAAATAATTAAAGATGACGCAACAGCACGAAGCATCTACATATTTTCCAAATCAGTAACATGAAGAAATGTAAAAATATTACTTACACCAAAGATCTGAACTCATTTCAGGGAACTAACTAGTGTCAAAACAATTTCTCTGAGAGGAAAAGAGATGAGAAAACTATTTTTGGATATGTAGTGAAGCTAACTAAGAACTGTATCATCCTACCATGGTGCAGAAGAAATAATTATGCTACATAAATGAAGTGTCTTTCCTGATGTTGTATGCTCTCAATGTTATTGCAGCCTTATCAGCCACCCAGGCAGCATGTTTTGGCAGACCACGTAGGCATTTTCCGACTAATATGAGGTTAGGAAACGTAGTGTGTTGGGACACACAATAGAAAAGGCAAGCTAATGTGGAAGACTGTCCTGTCTCCATCTCCTGGTTTGCCAGCCTAGCTTCCTGGAGCTACCATGACCTCTCCTGCAATTCCCCAGTCTTCCCTGAGGCCTGACATTGTGTAGTGGAGTTAGAGGATCTTCAGAATTATTTTAGTAAATGACACATATCACTAGAGTTGGCACCTTGTAGAGATCTGCAACAGCCTCTGTGCTCTCGCAGTCATCCTCCTCCTCCAGCTCCCACTGTGCTTGCCGATGCTTCTCCAACAGCTCACGGTACGCCTACAAGAAATACAATAGGTATATTTAAATAGCTGAAAAGGGTTTGATAGCTTCCTGTGATCCTCTCCCTTCCTTCCCTGATCTCCTTCCCATGTACCATCACAACAGTAAGCATTTATCTGTAATCGTGACTCAGAAGGAAATGACTCTTGCCTTACCACTTTAATTTGAGCATATCCAGTCTTGAGTATGAAACTCCATAGCCTCAGCAATTTGGGGTTAAATAACATGTACCTAATACTGGCAACCTGCTTTTCTGTGTATGAATATCACTTCATCATAGCAAGTACTATGAGGTAACAGCCATCAGCCATCACCATCAGATACCACAGTTACAACTGTATCACGCTGTACAGGGCTTTTGCACTGGGGCTGGTCGCCATGTCCCATGGTCATCCCTAAAAGGTTGATCTACAACTTGGTCCTGATCTAGTCCTTGGTTACAGATTTAAGACAGATGCAATTTTTTTTCTTCAAGCCAGGACTGTGATGTGTTGGCAGACTTATGTGCTGTAATGGAAGACAGAATTTCACAAAGAACATCTAATTCTATAGATATCTAATGGGTGGTCTTATACATAAACATTCCATATTTTGACTTAAACTGACAAGTGTCCTCTTACATTCCCGTGGGAAATATGGTTTTCTTCGCGAGGTATGTTGATAGGGCTCTTCTAAAGAACACAAAAGTGTTCATAAACTCTCCGTATACAGTTCATTCTTGTAAAGGCGGGCTTCAAAATTCACACTTATGAAATTGTAATTCACCACAGAATTTGACAAGTTAATCGATATAACTTGTTTGTCCACAAGGAGCAGGGCTGAGCAAGACTGGGTTACTGTAATTGGCACTTTTTGGCTTGTGTGCTTCCCTTGATCATGCCTGTATTCTCTGCCAGGAAAAACAAAACAAAAATGTTCCTTTTCAAGTGAAAACATAGATGAAGGAGACAGAATGATACAGGGACTCTAACCTTTACTGTCCAGGTCATTCTGTCATAGAAAAAAATCAGATCTGCAGCAACTAAATCATTACTATCCAACTTGTGTTCAGAATAAACTGCTGTGAAGCAAGTTCATTGCAAAATCCACCCTCTTAATTGGCAACCACTTAAAATTCATCAGAAAGGTCAGTTACTGCTGAGGCTGCTACCATGGTGGTGCAAGCCGTTTGATGAGGTGGAGGGGGAAAAGCAGAGATGAAAAGTACATTTGATGGGTACAAATCTGGGCTTGTGGTGAGGATTCAGGACCAACTCCTTCACTGCTGGGCTGGCTGTGAAACCATGAAGCAGGTTTAAAATAGCTCCTCAATGCTGAGGGGTTTGTTTGCACAAAATAATTACCGGACTATTTAAGTCAAATCATGGGAGCTGCAGATATATACATGTTTCTGTTATTCTTCAAAGTGTCTCTGGACTCAAGACCCCATCTGTTCTGGGACAAACGGCTCTCTCCACTGTGGCAGCAGAAAGGCTTAAATTTCTGACTTGTTTTATCATTTGAATATAGGCATTTCGTAATACTAAGACTGTTGTATTCTGTCCTGCAGCATGAAGTGCACGTTGCCC